TTATCTTCAGTTCACAATGTTAAAATTGGAATTTGTTGGCTTGGAAAATGTTGATAAAGGTCACATATTTTCGTACGTGTGACGCGTCTCAATGTGTTCACACATGATTTGATATTGTGATTCCGAGAAACGAAGACTTTGTATACGCTGTATTAACATTAATGTTGTTGAATCGAATTCGATTATTATTATACATTTTGTGCGGTAGAAGGTGTAGAAATATGATCAATACATTGACTATACTGTGCCCATGTATATGGGTGTCTTTCAAATCACCAGAGGTGTAAAAATACTTGGAATGATTCCACTACTCTTCGGTACTTGGCTCATCAATCTTGCCGAATATTTTTATGCAGAATTTTGGAAATCCGATGCCGAAACAAATTCACTAAAATCAAACCCGAAACACATGAATTTACGAATCGAGTGGATTTGCGTTGGATGTACTATGAATGAGTATGAAACATTGATGCCAAACGAGATGGAAATGATGACGATATGTCAATGGCAGCAACCGTATAATATAAAGAAGCGTTAAGTCTGATGATCTCCTTTCATCTTTCTAATCGTCCATTAGAGATTTGCAGGAGCGATGAATGCTTTTATGTTGAAGTGAGTATGGGTTCACGTTTAAATAATGCAACTACTCCTTGGAGTATTGCAGCATAAATTTTCCGGCTTCTTTCCAACACCGACATCCACATTATTGGCAATTTCAAAGAAGCTTTTGTGTTGATGATATCACAAACATTATTAAAAAAAAGTGGATTGCCAAAAAAGACACAGTGATAATTATGTACATCGATGTTGTGCTCTTTTTTCTCTCTCTCGGAAATTTCAACCGGCAAAAATGCTCAAGTCATTTTTCATGGCACGGAAATAGTGTTGGCACCGAACATATATCGATTTTCAGACTGTTACTTATGAATTACACCACCGGAAGATTTTAAGACATGTTTTGGTAAAAAAGAAAATAACTTCGTTCGACAATCATCTGCTATGGCAAAGAAAAATAAACACTTTTTGCAGCGGAAGAAAGTTTTCATCTACAATCGCAACTTTTATTGGCTTTTCATCTACACGACATCATCGCATTTGCCGGATATTTCATGACAACTCGAATTTCTTTGCTTTTGGCAACTGCTGGCATGACGTCATAATATGCGGTTTTGTTGTCGATAAATCGAAAATCATCTACACAAGCGACACGATGAACAACGACTTGTACATTTCATTTAAAGGGTTTCTCAACAGTAAATCTATAGCACACATAGCAGCTCTATAAGCATCAATTCATACTATTGAATTGCAATTATTCAAACAAATATGAATGAGACGAAAGCTCAAAAGTTATTTCCAAAAATTGACTTGGCTCGAATTGTTTCACTCAATTATGTTCATTAAACATGTTTTGATGCCACACTATGACTTCTCTAATTGAGACAAAAGTTAGACACCGATTTTCCGTTGTGAAAATGCGTAATTTTATTGTGAACAAAGTTTATGTGCATGCATTGAAATTTGTATCAATTAGCCAACAGTGCCTTGATGCTACAAAAAACTTGACAACTTGGTTTCCACATCGAACAATGTAACGCTTTTTTTATCGTGGCACCACATACTGCAATGTCGAATCATATTTATGATGAAGCACTTATTTAATATATATCCGGGTTTCTGGAAAAATGCGCTTGATAATTTTTAACTTTCACGTATAAAATTGAGTAAAGTGATGAAAAGTACTCGAGGGATGTCACTCATTAAAAACAAACTTAAAATTTATGTCACTGAATGCCGAGAGAAAAACATGCGAAATATGCGTCATATTGTTCCAAGGAAATGGGGCAATTATGGTGAGAGCAGGTATTTTTTTCTCTACGATACAGTTTATGTCGTAAAAACTTTAAAGCAATTCGAAAAAAATGAAGTGTAGTAGTAGGTGCTGAAGACATATCTTGTATGGAAGATGATCTAGTCTTTTTTGTACAAATTTCGAGGAATATTCTCAACTATTTTGCACCGTATGCATTAATTCTTTTTTTCTGCGAAAATTAATTTCATGCACCTTACTTGAATTCTTATACAAACAGTTCGGCGAACAATTTCTTCATGGCATCTAATTTTTCATGGAATATTTACAATGCAGAGAATTTTGTTTGAAAAGCAACAAAGCAAAAAAATAACATTTTGTGATGACAATGTTTCGCGCTGTGAATTTAATTCTCAAAATAAATGTCATTTTGACTGAAGCAGTTACATTTTTTTCATAAAATAAACCATTTTCTGGAATCAGAAATACTGTTTGTGCGCTTGAATTGACGTTGAAGTAATTATCCAACTGCATTAGTTTGTTTGATGCTACAAATTCAATTAAAATTGTTGCATGAATTTTCTCTCATTTGGATGAAATACAACAGTGCTTTACCCACTTTTCTTGACTGAACTCTGAAAAAATGCCATTTGTCGCTAGGCACAAGCATTTTTCATTCCTTTTCCAAACATTTTTTTTTCTCTATTTATTCCCATGGGATTTCTCTTAACACAGGCACATTAGCAACAAAAATTAAAGTGAAATGATTTCGAAAGAAAAATAAAAGCCCCTCTTAATTTAGAGAGATGTAAACATTTACGACTTTCGCTAAATAATCCTGTGTTACGTACGGGTTTTCGTTAATCTACAGTAAAAACGTTTTCTTTTTTTTCGACTCGACGTTTACGATGTGACATGAAAATCTCTGTAAGAAGTACCGTTAACTTTGTTATGATGTGCGTGTTTTGATAATAATTAATTTAATCAGTGGTCGGTATTGGTCCTCAAACCAATCATAAAACTTTGATGGAAAGTAATATTGATAGTTATTATGAATTGAAACACTGTGCATAATTCATTTTCACTTTGAGTGAAACAAGTCAGGTTTTATGGGTGGAAAATGCGCATTGCAAAATTCTTATCAGTCAACAGCCAGCTGCACATAGTAAATATACACCATCCATCTATATTTTAAATTTCCGAGTGCAAGTAAGAACAAACAGAGTAGTAGTAAGATAGAATGACTATAAATGAAGATTATCTCTAATTAAATTGCTTATATGCCAGACCTCCAATAAACCTCTCATCCGCTGATGGGTTTCGTTTTTATTATTATATTTTGTTGTCGACACGATTTACAGCGGAATGGCTGGAATAGGTGTTAAAAATGTTTAAAACACCATATAAAATCCAAATAAAACTGACGCACTTGATGTTTTAACCATTAGCTATGATGACCTTATCTATCTAACAAAAAAACAAGAGTGCAGCACATTTTAAGCCATTCACACTCGTAAAATTATGCCATTAAGCCAACGCAAAAGGCAACACATTTTCAGGAAAATTACCATGGCGGTCGTGTTGCAGATTCATTCTGAATTTTAAGTGCTTGAAGTCAGAAGGAAATAAATTTACAGGCTGATCATTTAAAAAAAAAACACGTAATGAAATGGCGGGTGTATAATATACTCGGTTTAGTGGCAAATCCAACCAATGTTTATGTACCAAAAGAGATAAAAGTGCAGAAGGTGAAAAAGAACTATTTCGCAATTAATTAACAAACTAAATGCAGAAATTTGACATTTGAATTGTATGGTTTTTCAATACATATTATTCATTTAAATTCATGACAATGTTTCACTGACACGGTATTCGTTTCTGTATAAAGACTATTAGATGTAATAATGTGGTTGTTGTCATAACATCGTAATGAATATTATTGAAATGAGACAAATTTCAAACATGAAACTCATCCGCATATTCCGAATTGAAGATAGATATTTAAATATGTTGTGTGACCATGGTTACATATGCATATTTCGTTAATTTGACGCATATATTGTAATTTTCTCATCCATTTTCAATATTAACTGTTAATACAGTTGCAACCTGTCAACAGACAACATTTGTTCGTTTACACCTTCAGTTGCAGATGCTCTTTGTTATCAAGTGACAATGTTAGGTGTTAACAATGATATTCATTTTGACATACCTGTTACCAAAATTAAAACAATTATTATCTCTGAGGTTGTTTTTAGTGAAAATAACATGTGGTGGATGCATTTCTATTTCAAATGGTAGAAATTACTTTTTAAACGTGTGTTTTTAACTTTTTTGTTTTTTCGCTTTCTGTGGTTATGACATTTATAATATTATAATGTGAATATTGAGAGAAAGTTGAAACAAAGTATAATTTGCTTGGGAAAGTTATTTTCAAATAACTAAAGTTTACATTGAATGTATGTATATAATTGGCTAATCTGCAAAACAAATTCTACAAAGCCAAGCGATTTCGATTCAAGTAGAATGTCAATAGAGATACAATAATAATAGGAATGTAATAAGATGCTGGAAATGCATCATTCAATTATTTCTCAAGTGCACCGCGATGAGTTCACAACCTATGACATCCATATTTAGATTTAAATTGCATTTTACAGTGACTGTAGTTCATACTTTGAAATCTATTGAATATGAATGTTACGAAATAATAACAATGACTAATGAGCGAATTGCAATGCAAAGTATTATGAAACTGTATATTTCATAAACCAGAAGCATTCAAATTACTTCTCCATAATAAGAACAATTAAAATGTATTGTGCAATTTTACTTGATCATTTCCAAGCAAATGCTATATTGCATAGAATCATAATGGCAAATTAATGTTGATTTAATGTTCAATGAATAATTCCGAAAATATAATGATGTAAAGCGGCTTTTGAAGACTTGTTAAAAAAAATACTTCATTACAACCTGATTCTCCGACGTATAAAATGATGTGACATAATTTTGATTTGATATCAACTGCGAGCATGTCTGGTGCTGTCCTCGCCAAGAGTTGTAACGAAATTCAACAAAGAAACCACAGATAATAATAGAAACGTGAAACTTCTTTGTATTTATTTAATAAAACCTTCCAAATGATATTCCTTTCGAATGAATGACATAAAATAAATGTGTCTCTTACCAATTTGGTGAATACGTTGCACAGTAAAGATCAATGTTTATTTGATGTTATTTGTCAGCGAAAAATCTGTAAAGAAAAAAGGTAATGCTTTAAAATCATCTTATACATATTTTTTTCAAAGTGAAACACAGGTTTTCAAGAATAAATTTCCATAAAAATGTCAATGACATAAGACACAAGTTTAATCAATCAAAGCCTCATAGCCTAGCTGAGATTTTGTATGTGTGTGTGTTCAGTTGACATGAAATTAATATAAATCAATTGATTTTCCCGATGTGCGTGTTTTTTTTCTTAAATCAATTAATCAATTCTTCAGTGTCAATTAGGCGATGATGTGAACTTTAGACAAGACGCGTAATAAGTATTGACACCGTGCATATCCCATGATAGAGACACACAGAGAGAGAGAGAGAGAGAGCTAAAATGAAAACGGGATGTCGAATTGTTATTCAACATTCATCTGAAGAACAACGGGAGGAGAAAAAAAGAGATCAATTTTGGCATTCGACAAGCACGTCCATTGTACGCACTCAGCAGCAACGATGCGAAGTGTGTTGGCCTGTCAGTCTTTGGCTTCAAACAATTTTGTTTTTGTTGCTTCTGATATTGGTAAATTCGCATGTTCTCTGTCGCTCAACAATAAAAAATTGATTATTCATCACCAAATCAGATTTGACAAAAGATAAACGATATTTTGAGTCATTGTTGGCGCTGTTACTGCTGTCGACGCCACTCTCAACGTAGACAAATTCTATTTCATGGTGGTATGTTCAAATATTTTCTTATCGGTCGCATCTCTTTTTTGTTTTCATTGCAAATTAAAAATCGTATTATCAGCTTTTATTTCTTTCACGTTCTTTATCCGACGCTCAACCGCTTCGGTTTTTTTCCACCACTCCAGTACATTGTCTTGAAATGTTTGTCATTTTTCGTCGATAAAGGTTTTATTTTCAAACCAGTTTCGAATTGCCATCACATTTTCTTTGCGTATTACTGTTTTTGTAGGCGTTAAATAGGCTGGAATGAATAACAAATGAGAAATAATGGAAAGAGTATCGAAGAAAGGATGGAATAAAAATGAAGTTACTTTCAATGAAAAAAATGTTTTTTCTGTGGTGAAAGAAGATAAAAATTTTTGAATGCTTTGTTTCGGCATTAAAACGGCTTAGGACATACTTTGAATCATAATTCAATCGTTCTTTAATCTTCTGTACCCGCGTCAATTCAAAAACATTTTTTTCACGAATCATCAAACACACTCCAAATTTCATCAACAACAAAAAAATATGAAATGAGTCGAATTCAATTCTTACTTCCGGCGCATTTGACGGCATTATCCAAATTCAGGAAAATGTCGATTTTTGTCCATTGATTCCCAACGTTCGATTATAATGAAAATGTATAAGTCCCCCCCTCACCAATCGGCTATGATTAACTCGAATATAAAGTAGATTTAATGCGAAAAATACGCACCACTCGTGCAACGCAGTGTAAATAATTTCTCATTTTGCTTAACGATCGAAAAATTATGACAAATGAACAAGAAAAATCTCTTTTTTTTGCATTTGCTCATCGTCGCCTCCGGCATTTTCATTATATTGTCGTCTTTTTGACGCCAATTACGCACATTTCCACATGTAAAAAAAGTTAATCTGGCAAAATAAAAAACGAATCATTCGTTAATTTTCATTTTGGAAAAGTTGTTCGTTGCTTTTCGAAGGAGTCTGTCAGCGATGGTTACACATGGCATCATCCATCTTTGGCCAACTGGCGATGGAAATTCACTGCACGATTAAATAACATTTGGTTGAACAACCGACAAAAAAAACCAAGGGAATATGCGCTTAATCGTAATGAGAACAAGTTCAATAGCCCCACACATGCGAATGAAAAAGAAAAGAAAAACTATTTCGAACAATTTTTTGAATTGCGCTTTTTTTCATGGACCAGAAGTAGGCATACTTGTTTGGTTCAATGGCCTCAAAACTTCCATTGAAGAAAAAGTGTGCAGTTGTGATGAGTAATTGTTTGTTGTAAAAGACGAATCCCATGACAATAATTGCCCCATGACATTTCTTCAACATTGAAATAACAGCGTACATTTTTCATTTGCAGTTGCTATTTTAAAGCAAAAGAAAAACAATTTTCGCACAAGCGAATGGCTGAAGAGAATAAAAAGTTGCTCGAATTGTTGGATCGCATTTATTTCTTCATCTTGAAAATGAATCCTATATTGTATGGATAATATAAATGCCTGTGTTCATTCAACGACAATAAACTAGCGGATGCAATTCCATTTGATTGGGGTTGTCGGTGACTTTTCAAGCGTGAATACAAAGTATACGGAATGCAAACGGGAAACTATTGGCAAAATTAAGCAGATGCCATTTTTCGCACAAATCCTTCAAACAATAAAATTTATATAACTCACGAAACTGGGTGCACATTTTGCGATTGGAAAAGGTGGCGCATTGTGTGAACAATGACAAGTGCGCAATGAAAATTTCAAAACGGAATACACTTGAGACAATCAACAAGGCAATCCGTTGTTATTTTGACACTTGTAAAAACGAATCCATTTCAAAATAAATCCGATTTGCAGCCGTATAAAGTAGCAATAAGCTTAAATGATTTCCGTTGCAATCGTCATTTCCGAATTTTTTCTCTTTTTTTTTGTTCTCTCAGCTATAAATTGGTTTTCTTTGTTTCGTTACATAATTCTTTGCAATTTCAATCGCTTCTTAATATATATTTAACATTTAAAGTCACTGTTTATGTTGCCACTTGGCAATTGTTCGTTTTCATTTTCATTCTGTGTGCATCGGCACACATCGGAAGAGAAATAAATTTCCGTATGGACTATTGAGTTCACATAGTTTTAAGTCAATGGATTTTCATTTTAAAGCGCAACAACAACAACAAAAACCAAAGAGAGAAAAAACAGAATTCAAATATAAATAAACGATTTTGGTGAAGAGAAACGATTTGCTGTACGGAAAAAGTGCAATCGATAATACAAGAAAAAGACGAAAAAAAATTGAACAGAATAGTGTCGTGATATGAATTGGTAGCGATTGTGATATTGCGGCAAAGTTTGTCGAAATGGTTTTTCTTTTATTTGAATTTAGTGAATGGGGGATAGAAAAATAAAACGGGAGCATACAAACTTAATCCAGCTAATCGTACGATACACAGCACTTGTAGACCCAAGAATGAATCACTCGATTCGCTCGCGCACGACATTCAATTTTTAGCAATTCAGTTTTGTGTTTATAGGACATTCGAACACGACGAAATTGGCAATAATTTCAAATTCTATTGTTATGTATTCGATCCATTTTTCATTCGTTATCGAATATTCGCAGCGATTACATGGAATTTATTCTGTTTTTTTTTCGCTTGCTTTCTTTCATTTTCTCGCCGAATTCGGTGTGCTCTTTTCTGTTGTTGTTGTTAGCTTTTCATTCATTCGGTTTGTTATTTTATGAATTTTTTATATTTTGTGATCGCGTTTCTCGTACACTTTTCCAGCATATCAAATGATTGCGAACGCAAACGCTAAGTCTGTCATCATCGCTTTTCATGTATTATGACACACGAATTTATGGCTGATTCGAAACGAAGAAATTACTTATTGCCAACATTTAATCACATAAATCCACACTGTGTGTGTGTATCGTTTGCTTTCACATTGCATGTCTTAATTTTACTTAATATATCGCATTTCTTCGTTATGCTAACATCGTCCTTCTTTTATGGTAGCATGGGGAACATTTTGCTGTTCTCTTTTTTTTAAATTTATTTTTTGAAACAACGGCGTCGGAGAATTTATAGACGAATTACCCGAGTAATTTGTGTGTCTACACGTGAACACTCTTTCCATGTCGTTTCGCAAATAAGTTTCACTTCCAGAAATTAAGTTACACATTCCGCTTGTTCAAACATTTCCATTGCAGCAGATAATACCACGAATTTGAATATGTGGAATGAATTTCCTTGGAATAATAGAGAGTGTGTTTGTACGTACTTGTGCATATGTAAAAGTCGATCATACTAAGTTTCGGCACTGACAATATACTATTTATTTTCTATGTTTTCACTATTGCGCATCTATCTACCGTAAAAATAAGTTTCTTGCTAAAATTGCGGTGAATTGAAGACAACGTGTCAAAACCAGTACAACAGAAATCTTGATTCTTTAAAGAAACCGAAAATGCACCACATTTTATTCACTCACTGAGTTTGCTGAACTAAATAAATTCTTATCTATTTTACGTTCAGAATCAATGGGCAAAGAGGCAAAGCAGGCAAAGTTATGTTAGGGTTTCATCATTACATTTATTTTCAGCCGGAAAATTTCATGCATGAGAGTTAATTAAAAGGTGATTATTATCATTGGACTGTAAACAATCAATGCAATGTAGAGCAGTCATACCAATTTATGCTAACATTAATTTGAAAACAATGCTAAAATCAAAAACAATTCAACTTTTGTTGAATGCCTATGTTATTTTTTTCGCACACCAATTTTTCGATGCATTCTAACAAATCGGCCAAACTGAAATTGGATGGAAAAAAAGGATTTATAGTTTTCAGTAAAGAATTCGTTTGAAAATTTATGGAAATATCGAAGCGAAACAAATACCCTTCCACTTTTTCTGAATAAATGGTTGATTCGTTTTTTTTAGGTTGTGTTTGTCACTTGGTTGCTTTTTTGTAATCCATTTTTTTCAAATGCACTAAATTACTTTGGGTACTATGCAAAGATACAAAAACATATATAAAATAAATTGCGTGCGATTTTCATTTTAACGCGGATCAATTTTTTCAAGCCACAAATAAACAAACAGTGCATTTGTGGTTTTTCGTAAATGTTCATATTGACTGCACAGCCATTTCAAATATATTGGAATTTACAAATTGTTTTTGCCATTGTATTTGAATTTATTTATGTTTTCAGAGCTCCCATGCAAATCTCAATCCAATTTAGTCAAAGTACGAATATTTTTGCAATCCATACAGAAAACAACAAACAATTTTTTTTTTGAATTCTTTCGAATTTCGAT